GCTAGGGTTCCTTAGTTATCTCAGGCTAGATTTCAGGAAACTTGCTAGGGTTCCTTAGTTATCTCAGGCGAGACTCTAGGCAGTGTTGAGCATAACATGAAACACATATGACCTATTTGATAGCACCATGAATTGTTGAGATTGGATTAACTTGGTTAAACCTAATTTCTGTTGCTATTTATGAACATTGAAATCTTTTCTCCCTGCTGTTACTTTTGATCAGCCCAAGCCCAGACTGCATTACTATTTAAGGAGGCGCAGAAGCAAGGAAAATTGAGCACTCACAACAAGAAAAACTTGAGTGTAAAATAAGGGTTTAAGATTTTGAGAGTCTTGTGTGTGTGTGACTTTGTAAGTCACCCTTTGTATCTTTGGATGCATCATGGTAGACATATTGTTAGCTGTTATTTGTTAATTGCTAATTCTTCACTCAAAGCTTGTAAGCAAGAGTGTATTGTTCTTGATTGAAGTTGTTAAGCAAAATCAGGTATTGTGACTTTGAAGAGTGTCTTCTAAAGTCTTCTTTTTGTATTGAATTGTTTATCACTGTTGTGATTGAGGGGGAGTGAGAGGTGTCTCTTGTCTAGTGGTTTCTAGGAAGAAATTACATTGGGTAGAGATTAAGTGAGGATTTATAAACTGGGAGTTTAGCTCTAAATTAATTCTGCTAATAGTGGATTTCCTTCCCGGCTTGGTAGCCCCCATATGTAGGTGATGTTGCACCGAACTGGGTAAACAATTTCTTGTGTTCTTTACTGCTTTCATTACATGTTTACTGCTAAGTTTAATAATCTGTTTAGAAGCGGATGTCATAACATCCGATATAACATCGACTGTCAGTTACTTATCTTTCTGCATTTAACATTCTACTCAATTTTAAAAGGTTAGATAAATTGTTCTGTCAGTCTGCAGATGTTATAGCAGATGTCACGACACTGCTAATTTTTAAAGTGAATTAAAATGTACATGTTCTGTCCTTGTTCTGTTTTAGCAGAGATCAATGTTCTTTGCATCTCTTAGGACATCTGAGATCTGCATACCATAATTTCATAGAACGTGACTCATTCTTGTGCCTTAGGAATTTATCCCATGTCCAACGACTGTAATCATTCATAATAACAAGTCCATACTTCTTACTATTGACTAACTTATAGTGTTGCTTATTTTTATAAAAGATAATGTCATAACTATTATCTCATAATTGATTTATGGACAACAATACAGACTAACACGTAGTCACTTGAGAAAACATAAACTCAAAAGAAAATACATATGTTTATACAAGAATGCTTCTTCATAAGCGAATTACATTATATTTAAGATTAATAACACAACAGTGTTAATTTGCAAGATACGAGCAAAAGTTCCTTGTTGTATTACAAAACTATATCTAGAATGCATCTCACATGAGATTTTATGCAGCGTTTTAGTATGAGTTTTGTAGAGTAGAATGTTATCTTTTCAATTCTTCCAAGTCTTCCTTTTATAGTTGAAAATTAGATTCGTTGAAGGGTATAATAGGAAATGGAAATTCAGCTGCTATGTCTTCAACGGTCAATGTGGAAGTGTCAGTCATCATCGTATCAAAAATTACTTTAGCAGGATAGTAATCAGTGTACTTTGTACTTTTATATTTATCCTTTCACGCAAGGCATTTCTGATCTTTAACTTCTAATCTTTAAAGGCTTTTAATATATGTTGATAAAGCTTTGTTGCAGAAGGATAAAAAACTTAGTCCTCATATATTAAGTTACTAGAAGTGATGTTCTCATAATCTTCGGAACTAGAATTTCAGAACTTAATTCTTTAGAGCCTTTGAAACTTGAGTCTTTGGAACTTGAGTCCTCAGAGTCTTTAGAACTATCAAACCAAATCTTGATCAGAAGCTCTAATACTAACGTTTTTTTAGAACCGATATATCAGATGCATTCCAGAATTTTGACTTGAATTTTGTAATCACCATATGTTTTCTTCTAGAGTGTTAATTCCAGTGTCTGATGAGATCACATGCCTTTTCTATTAGAGTCAGAAACTGTTTACTAAAAGGCTTCACACTAGACAAAAAATAGTTCGAGCATAAATTTTTTTCTAAGATAATATGTGAAGTTATCATCAAAACATAAGGTCAGATGCAGAACCAGATCTTATTCTTATAAACAACATTTGGTGACTTGTCGAATTGCCTTAAGGCAAGAAAACAATCGACGTGAAGTGGATATACAATGTGAAGTTGAATCCCAAATGAGAAGTAAATCAACACAAGGTAATACTTGTGGCAAAAGAATTTCTTCAGAAAGAAGGAATCGACTTCGGTGAGGTTTTTACATCTGTTGTTAGGACCGAAACAATTAGGTTGATTGTTAGTCTAACAAACACGAACATCTGGCATATTTGTCAGATGGATGTGAAATATGCATTTCTAAATGGCCCATTAAATAAAGAAGTTTATGTTGCACAATTAGTTGTGTTTATGAAACAATGTATAGAAAGTAAGGTATACGAGCTGCATAAAGCCCTGTACGGACTTAAGCAAGCTCCAAGAGCTTGGAATAAGAAGATAGATAACTTTCTAAGGGAGAAGGAATTTATGAAGTGAACAACTGAGCATGGAGTATAAGTAAGAAGAAGAAAGAGTGAATTGCTTATACTATATCTCTTTATCGATGGCTTGTTGATAACAGGTAGCTGCAAGAAAGAGATCGAACACTTCAAATGTAATCTTAGCAAAGAACTCGAAGTTTTTGATCTGGGCGACATTTCATACTTCATTTTCATCAAATTCTACAAGATTAGTAGAGGCTTGATGATGCATCAAAGAAGATATACAAGCGAGATACTCAAGAGATTTGAGATGGAATACTACAATTCAACTTTGACACCTGCTGAACCAAGAATGAGACTGTCAAAAAAATCAGATGAAGATGATGTTAACCAAACACTATACGAAAGACTTATTGAGTCATTAATATACCTTTCTCACACAAGGCCTGATCTAGTATACAGTGTAAGTATGGTGAGTAAATTCATGCAGAAGGCAAAGATATCACATCTAGCAGCGACGAAGAAGATACTAAGGTATCTGAAAGGAACTCTCGACTATGACATTTTGTTTCCTACAGTTGATGAAAGAAAAGAATGCAAACTAGTGCGTTACATCGACTCAAGTTAGCGTAGTGATGTTGAGGATAGAAAATCCACAATTTGCTATGTGTATATGCTAGGTGATGCACCAGTTTCTTAGACTCAAGAAAAGAACTAGCAGTAGCATTGTCGTCGCGTGAAACTGAGTATATAGCTTCTTTCCTCTATGCATGTCAAACAATGTAGATGGTGAATCTGGTCGAAGAAATTACAAGGAAGAATCATGGAGCAATTACCATGAAGATCGACAACATGCCTGCTATTAATCTGGCAAATAATCTGATAGCACATGGAAAAAGCAAATATATCGAAATGAGGTTTCATTATCTTCGAGAGCAAGTAGCAAATGGGAAGCTGAACTTGAAATACTGCAGAACTGAGAATCAAATTGTAGACATCATGATGAAAGGTGTACATGTCGAAGTGTTCAAAAGACTAAGAACTATGATGAATGTAGATAACTTAGACACAATGAATTAGGTAGTGTGTTTAAAATAAAATTATGTGTCAAAGCACCATTTTCGACAAAGTCTGTTGTTGTCGAAATGCTCTGAGCAGGAATTGTATAGATGTCGAAATGTCGAAGAAGTGTGTTTTCAGCCTATAATTGAAGATTGCTTAGTCGACAAAATTTAAAGATTGCTTAGTCGAGTTAGGTTAATTGAAGATTGCTTGGTGTGCAAGCAATTTCAGCCTATAAATAGGGAGGTAACCTATCATTGTAATAATGCAGTTGCATAGAGAAAAGGTTGAATAAACTTCAGTTTGAAGGCAGAGAGAAACTCTACATAAATATTCTCTTTCTTTTCCTTTTCTCCAAAACCCTAATTTTCCTTTCTTTCCCAGTTCATCTTTTCCTTTCTTCTTTCACTATCGATTGTGCAGCAAAATCATCTTGCAATTAAGGTTGGTTGATTCACTCTAGTGAAGAGTGAAGAAAAAGAAGCGAAATCGATCGATATGATTGATTCTTCTTGTTCATCAAGATTGATTCGAAATTCTCCAGAAATTTGATGTAATTCCAACAGAAGCGTGATCAATATTGAGTATCACTGTTGGTTAGTTGACGATAATGGACGTGTTTACTTCACTAAAATGGAACTATAAAACAATGTTGATGTGAAAATCATAACCTCAATTTGATCAAAACAAATTCTTGAGACCTATCGAGTTATGCGCTACCATAATTTCAATATCGTTTCTTGAGACCTGTCGAGTTAAACTCTACCATAATTATATTTGTCGATGTTATTAGTTCATGTTTGACTTATTCTAGAGTGTTGGACGAGATTACAATGTGTATATTTAAGTAAGAGAAAGAAGTAACTAATCTATCCGATTTATAATCTTATTTGTATTTAATTGATGTTTTTAATTATTTTTTAGTTATTGTTAATGCTTGTCAAATTGACATATAACAGGGTTAATGTTTGCCAAATTGCCATATAACATGTTATCTGATTTAATGAAGTTTCCAAGTTATGGGTGTTTGATATGGATTAAACTATTTTAAGTTCTAGAATCTACATACCTAAAAACACGATTCAGATTCTAGAACTCGGAGGTATAATTGAATTATTTGATTCTGTTCTCCTGCAACATAGATTTGTATAACTAATTTGCAAATATTTCCATTGAAGTTCTAAAGACCAAAAATGAGTTCAGTCAATTACAATATAAAGAATCAAAATTTAAATCACGTGGTATACAACTATATATGCGTTTATATTATCTACAAACCCTATCAAATCAATGCTATTAAGACTCCAGAAAAAGAAAAAGTAGTAATATCACTTCTCTCTGTTCTGAAAAAAATAGTACTAATCTAAATATACAACACTTAACAGCTAAAGGTATGATCAAAAAATGGCCAAAAGCAGAAAAATTGCCACTGTAAATGCAAAAGCAGGTTTTATCTTTAATGAATGACTAGATGGTGTTCTTTCAGGATCATTAGACTGGTTAGATGTTTTTGCAGGATTCACAGCCATAGCAGGAGAAACAGCAGGAGCGTACGATCGGTTAACAGGTAAACTCGAGAGTTCATCATAACCTGATATTAACATAACATAACATAACATCATTTCTCATTCAATAATAACCAATGAAGCAGTAAAGAACTAGATGGTATATTCTGAAGCATAATAAGGTGAATTGTACTCACAGTTAGATTCTCTCCAACGCAGAGTCATGTTCTCGCGATCGAAGACTATACGGTAACCGGTCATGAAGTTTTCTGCATGAAAAGAAACATGATGATCAATGTTGCAATTATACTTATTAAAAGCTTTAATTCGGTTATCATACTCACGTCCTATGATATTCAGATTGTTGCTTTTCAAGACAGCCAAACAAAGAACATTGCTGCTACCATCCTGAAATGAACACCAAAAGAAGCATTCGTGAAGTTAAGAGAGATGCAAAACATTATATACCAATTTCGGAACAATTTTTTTCTTGAAATCGTGCTCGTAGCCCGTAACTAACCATTACTATTGGGTCCATGACATAATAATTGTCTCCGCCTTTCATCGTTAGGTTAACAGTGGGAACTTGAACCGTCATCTGGTTTGGGCTGCAAACAAAGTTGAAATTGTAACTAATTTGCAACTAATACAGTTTGCTCTTGATTACAATGAGCGCGTGATACACTTTACATAGAGAAAATAACAAATCTTAACTAACTTGTAACTAACTTCAACAAACTCCAATTATATCTAACAATAAGTTCTTGGTGATCAATATGAAATGAAAAAAGAAGAAAACTCTCTTAAAGCTATAGTCACCTGAGCTCATAGCAGTACTCAAAGGGAAGATCATCAGCTGAATGTCTTTGGAGTTTAATGTTTGAATCAAACTGCAAAAACAGCATAAAAAATTAAGAAAGAACTCAAGTGATACATGAAATGAAACTCTAGTTACTATGTTGAAGATTATAATTAATTAAGATTACTTACAGTTTCAGTAATTTGCTTATAAGCCGGGTTGTTTAGGTATGTAAACGAGGTTCCAGTGTCAAATATTGCATTTAACTCGAGATCAGCAACATTTCCTCCCACAATAATTTGGGTGACAGTGATGTTGTAAGTTGAACTGCAAAAAAATGGCCATATTAACTAAAACTTCAAAGTAGACGCTTGTCGTAGAAGTTTAGAATTTGACATGTTTCAATGTTTTGCATATGAGTGACCATTTCGTGTTCGAGGAAACAAGAAAAAAGAATCTAAGAGTGAGATATACTAGTAACCACTTACTGCAATGGCCTAATGTTGAATGGTGTTTTTCCTTGGTCCAGGCTATTATTATTATTATCACCGAAAGTGATTCTTCCATTGCCATCATCACCAAAACACATTGAAAATGAATTTGAAGTTAGCCCTTGTTTGGCTAAGACACTTGGAACAGATACATCACTCATTCCTAATCCAAACAAGCCATTTGGAGCTGCCCCAGTCAGAAAAGCACCGGTTTGAACTTGCCCACAACTGCAACATATTCAATGACAAATACAACTATAAAAAACCAACACCAAAAACAAACAAAAAAATGATTCCATAACTAAATTCACTGACAGAGATTTAGATGCTGAAAACTTACCCAAACGGAACAGTCGGGTTAGCCTGTTTAGTTTGACCACCATGATCTGTAATTAGATGCAACACGTCTTCCACCAAGAAACCAGAAGTTGAAGTATTTTCAGATAGATATTGAACTTGGTATGGACAAGTGCCACCAGATGAAGAAGAACAAAGTGCCGGCTGCCCACATAAGCTGCTGTTGCAGGCAACATTTTTACTAGTGGATGATCTCTTATTATCATAGATATTAAACTCAATTTTCTGTAAGCAACAAAGAAACATCATTAAATCGGCTTTGAAGGCGTGAAAGACAGACTACATCACAGACTCAAAATTTGTGCCGGTTAAAATAGAACCTCATAAAATGTTTGTCTCGGTGGTTAAACAGAGACTCTATTTGTTCTATCATTGTTAAACTGCGATTAATCTACAGAGACGGCTCTAGATAGTATAATAGTTTAAGATTTAAGTATACCTGTCGTGATGATGTCTGTATACCACCATGGACACATTTGGTACAATTGCAAGGGAGCCAGAACAAGTCACTACCAGTATCCAATGCAACAAGAAACCATGAAGCTGGTGTTCCAACAGAAACATTCGCAAAATGCAAACTGAATTCCAAATAATCATCAATATATTGAACAAGAAAAATAAAATCATATGAAAGTAACAGAAAATTAACAAGTAATTGAAAAAAAATTCTTACTATCCAAACAAGGGAATCCGGTAGGTGGAGTTATCAGGAGAAAACGCAAGAAGTTTCTGAACAATATCGTCGCCGTCAGCGAGGCGGCGAGCGTGAAACACGCGGTCTCTGTGGGCCATAGCAACGTAATATTCACGAGTTCCCACGTCGGGTAGTTTGTCAATACCGAAAATACCCTTGACCGGTTCGGAATAGCGATGGTGGATGTCAAAACCGAATGAACTTGAACCATAGCATCTCTGTGATTGTGAAATTAAACATAATAACAACAACGCTAATAACACTAAAGCCATGAATATGTTGATGAGTTGAATTGAAGTTAGCTATGTTGATGAGTTTTCCTGATGTATATGATTGAGTCGAGTTTAGTAATGGTGTGTTTTGTGCGTGTGGAAAAAAATGTTGAAGAAACATGTAAGAAAGTTCCGTGTATATTTGAAATGTTCAATTAATAATAAAATTATTTTTTATTTTCTTAATTTGTGATTAATTGTTGCATGGAGGGATATGGAGAAGATACCGTAAGTTTTGGTTTAAGATTAGTCAAAAGTGTTTTTGCGAAGCGCGATCGGTGTTGATTTGGCGAGAGGTGGGTCCCGGAAATACTACGGTTGGAGACTTGGTTTAGCGTATATTGACTTCTTCTATGTACTGATAGTGTTTAGTTATTTATTTATTTAATTAATTAAGTTTGGTGAACAAAGAAAGTTTTGCCGGTGAAAATCGGTATTTTAGTGGTGAAGAAGAACAGAGGCCAACTCCAGCATCAACTTGAACAACATTTTTCTAGCCAAGTTGTTCAGTGCTGCTTAGTTAGTTTCGTAATTTTTTAAAATGATTTTTAGTTACGTGTTTTTATTTCATAAAAGTTAGCAATTTTTTAAAAAGAAATTACAAATAAAAAATTAATTTGGATATATATTTTTATTTTATTTTAATCTTTCTAATTTTTTAACATTAAAATTTTAAAAAATTATTTATATTTAAAACTGTTTTAAATTATTTTTTTTAAAAAAATATGATTGAAATATTTTTTTAAGTTCATACGATTTTAGTTATGTTTTAATTTTTTTTAATAATTTATGTTTATGATTTTGGATGACAAAAGTTTAATTTTTTAATTTATAATAGACGTAAGCTCACTATGATCCCCTATTTATTTTTTAATCTTTTAGTTCCTATTCAATTTTTTTAACTTTTTGGTTCTTTTATTCAATTTTGATTGAGTTTTTTTTTTCTTCAGACGGCAAGTGAAAACACTCCGTTGACACATAATAGTTAGCACTACGTTATTAATTTAAATTAAAAATTAATAATGTATCTTCTAAACTAATTTTTTTGATAATATATAGTATTTTAATTTAATTTATATAAACAAATTAAAACTCTATACTTATAATAAAATTAGAATTCCAAAGTGTCGTTCAGCCCCTTTCATTCTTCACCTTCGCCCACCAATTTTGTTGTTCATCATGTTTTCTTGTTCATCCACTTTCAACATTCATTATGTTTCGTTGGTCAAGGTATTAAGAAGATGAATAACCCTCGCAATTTGTGGCAAAACAAAGAAGAAGTGAAATATTGTTTTAGGTATGTAAAATGGTTTTATTTTCTGGGTTTAGGTGTTTGTTTAGTATATCTGTCATTTATAGGTTTATGGTTTAAAATATATCTGTCATTTCTGGGTTTAGGATTTATGATTGTGCATATTAATTTGTTTTCCCGACAATCTTTGAATCGTACAATTAGGTTAAGAATTCATTATATGGAAAAACGAGTAAAAACACATGTGAAGTGGTACATTAATGAAGTAGTCTCCGAAATGAATTTGAAGTGGGATGTGGACTATATGTCCTATATGTAGTTGGAAGGAATGATAAGAAATAAGGGATATACCAATATCAAGTGTTTGTGGTACTAGAACCCTGGGTATTGCTTTAGTCGTGGCCTTATACCCCTTAATTGTGATGTTGATGTTCTTAAGTTTATTAAGGATGCTAATGGGTTTGAATTGGTAGATGTGTATGTAGAGCATGCCATTGGTAATCCTGAAATGATAGATGATGCAAAATTAGTTCATGATTATGCTGAGGAAGTACATTTTAATGATGAATTTGTTCGAAGTTCTGATGACGAGGAGGTAGAAGTTGAGTGGGTTGATGATGATGTGAAATTTGGGAGTGAAAGTATTGAGGATGAAGTGCATGTAGGGACTCAGAATATTGAGGATGAAGTACAGGAAGGGAGTAATAATGTTGACCCAGACTATGTTGGAAGTGAAGATGATGAGGACAATGTCAGTGACGATTGTCGCAACTGCGAAAAAAGGGCCGACAGAAACAAACAAAAGAGTCTCCACCGAACGTTATTTATCCTAAAGAGAGGGAAATGAATGATCTAAGAAAACCTAAAAGAAAAGGGAAAAGACAAGGTCATCGCAACCAAATCTTGAGTTCGGGAGTCGGTTACGCAAGGGGAAGGTATGAGCACCCCTCACGTCCGTTGTACTCAACGGGATCCATGTTTGTTGTCTAATATATGGGTGAAATCTATCTAAAGCTACTGCTAAACAGGGTGAAAGGAAAGAACATACTCGATAGGACATCGCCGCCCTACGCCTACGTATTCTCTCGTGCAATGGAAAAGTCAGAGTCAACGTAGTTCGGGAAACTACGGGTGATGGGGGGAAGGTTGCTCGCCAAGACATCGTCGTCTTATGCCTACGTATCCTCACCTGGTATGAGAAATCAGAGCAAACGTAGTTCGGGTAACTATGAGACAAGGATGAAAACGTGTTTTTGCAAGTGACGTTAAATCTCCATTCCAGTAGTTAGGAACGATGCCTATTTGCGGCAGAACGGGAAAGTAACGTACTCTTTTTGAAAATGAGGTTTGAAACAATCCTGAAGGATGAAAAGGGTTTGAGTTTGGTCTGTGAGTTTTAATGAAGTGGATTGAGTTAGTTTTAGACTCGTGTCGCACTAAAGACTATGACACGGGGGAGAATGCGTCGCATATCGCCCAAAGGGCATACGTTAAACACTCTAGACAAACAAGGAGGAACCCCCCCCCCCCTCACTCATCATTCCCTATGTACTTAAGGCTCGTAGCGCACGGCGCTCGTCGTCCTTTATTAAGTGTCTTGAAGAAAGTTTGAGGTGAGAAAAGAGAGACGCACACAAAGACCTAGGGGGGACTGATCCCTAATTGTTGTCATACAATGTGTCCCTAAAGTCAGGATTAGGAGGGAAACTAACCTAATATTGTCATCCTTGGATTGAAAGCCTAATGTCTCTCCTACTCCTAACTTAATCGGAAATTAGGTCGGGCTATGAATCCTAAGGGGATCATGCGAATACAGGAGGTAAACAGCAAGTAAACACGAAACAACGTAATCACAGACAACATCAAATTTTAAACTCAAGAAATATGTACAGAAAATAAGCACAAGTATTTACAGACGCACTCGAGATTTAATTGGAATTAAAAAGATTTAAAAAAAATTAAATCCTATGTTAACTACATTAAATAAAATTCTAAATTAAAATTTAATTAAAGTTAGTCTAAACTAAAATATAAAACTAAGGTTAATTAAAAATCTAATTCTAAATAAATATCTAAAGAGAACTCAACCTAATATAATTCTAAACCAATTAAAAATCTAAATAGAAACCTAAATTCTAAAGTTAATTAAAATCTAATTCTAAATTAGTTAAACCTAATTCTAAATTAGTTAAACCTAAGTTAAATTAATTCTAAAATTAAAGTACTAACCAAAATCTTTAACTAAAACATTAACTCCCTAAATTAAAATACTATCCTAAATATATTAAACTTAAATTAAGCTAAGCTAAATCTAAACTAATCTAAAAAACTATCAACCTAAACAAACTAAGAAAACAAAACAAACTGGAACAGGGAAGAATTCCCGTTGGGCTTCAAATCCAGGCCCAATGGCCTTCAAAAAAGCTGCAGTTAGGGGGTAGTGAGTTAAGACGGGTGTGAAGAGGAATAATGGACGGGCCTAAAGACCCGGCCCATATCGGATTTAACCTAAAAAAGAGAGAACAAAACCAAAGTCTTTTATCCTTCTGGCCGCAGACTCCTCCACTTTTTCTGCGCCATCTTCCCCAATCCACTTTAACTCTTCTCCACCAAAACTTTCCTTCTTCCCAACACCTCCTTTCTTCTCCCAATGTTTTCTCTCTTCCCCACGAGTTTTCTCCTCTTCCCTTTATTCTTTCTCTTGAATCTCTCTCTCTCTTCCTAAACTATTTTCTTCTCTCAAAACCCAAGTCAAACCTCTCTCAAACGCTCTAAGACTCTCTCCTCTCAAATAACTCTGACTCTCCCCTCTCCCCTTTCAACGAAACTCTCTCCCACCAATTGTTTTCCTGATGTATATGATTGAGTCGAGTTTAGTAATAGTGTGTTTTGTGCGTGTGGAAAAAAATGTTGAAGAAACATGTAAGAAAGTTCCGTGTATATTTAAAATGTTCAATTAATAATAAAATTATTTTTTATTTTCTTAATTTGTGATTAATTGTTGCATGGAGGGATATGGAGAAGATACCGTAAGTTTTGGTTAAAGATTAGTCAAAAGTGTTTATGCGAAGCGCGATCGGTGTTGATTTGGCGAGAGGTGGGTCCCGGAAATACTACGGTTGGAATCTTGGTTTAGCGTATATTGACTTCTTCTATGTACTGATAGTGTTTATTTATTTATTTAATTAATTGAGTTTGGTGAACAAAAAAAAATTCTAGCCAAGTTGTTCAGTACTGCTTAGTTTGTTTCGTAATTTTTTAAAATTATTTTTAGTTACATGTTTTTATTACATAAAAGTTAACCATTTTTTAAAAGAAGTTTCAAATAAAAAATTGATTTAAATTTTTTTTTAATTTTAGATAAATCATCTTTCTAGTTTTTTTAATATTAAAATTTTACAAAATTATTTATATTTAAAACTATTTTAAATTACTTTTCATAAAAATTATGATTGAAATATTTTTTTTAAGTTCATATGATTTTATTATGTTTTAATCTTTTTTAATAATTTATGTTTATGTTTTTGGATGACAGACTTTATTTTTCTAATTTATAAAAGACTTAAGCCACTATGATTCCCTATTTATTTTTTATTCTTTTAGTTCCTATTTAATTTTTTTAACTTTTTGGTCCTTTTATTCAATTTTGATTGAGTTTTTTTTTCTTCGAACTTTGTCTTATATGGTAGGTTAGCACTACGTCATTAATTTAAATTAAAAATTAATAATGTATTTTTTAAACTAATTT